TATTATCATAATTTATTATCTTTCATTTAAAATTACGATTTAATTTATTTTCATTTATTTTAATTGATTAATGATAATATTAAGATATTCATTATCAATATCAATAATGTTATTTTTTATATTGATGTTTTATTGTTGAATGACACTCTACTTTCCATTCTATGATGGATTCACTTTAATTTTAATATATCTTTTAGTTGTTTATTTTATTTTATGTAATATTTTAATATTATTAATGTATTCTTTATCATTATTTACATTGAAGTTTATCATTTTTATTATATTTTCTATTTGTTCATTTCTTAATTTATTATTTAATTTATTATTTAACCAATTAATTCAAAACAATACAAACAAATCAATTAAATTTTTATTTTTATTTTGTGTTTTATTTTATTATTGTTTGTTTATCATTTCTTGTTTTTTGATATTCAATGTTTTGTTCTTTTATTTCTAATATTGTCTTTATTATAATGGTAGTTTTATTCATTTGCATTGTCCATGGTGATGTTCTGAGTATTTGTTGTTTATTTATCATTAATATCATTGTTTTCTTCTTCTCAATTTCTGAAATAAAAAATAATCAATAAATTGATGATGATTTGATATTATTTGTTTTTGTTCTTCATTTTCTATTTGTGTTGTTAATTCTTCTTTTGTTTTTCTGAAATCTCATACTTTTCAATTCTACTTTTTTGATATTCAGTGTTTTGTTTTTATTTATTTCTTATGTTCTTCTTCAACACACAATTATTCTTCATCTCATCATTATTTAACTTCTCATAATTTACTTAGAGAATGTTGATTTCATCTTTATTCATATTTCTGTGTTATTTCTATTTCATGTTTCATTTATTGTTGATTGTAATGAATTATTTTATTATTTTAATTTGTTTTTCTTATTTCATTAAATGTAGTTTGAATATTGTTTATTTGTGTTTGAATCTTTTTTATTTCTTCTTCAATCTCTTTTCTAATTGTATCTCGTGCTTTTTTGAATTATTTCATTTGAAATGATTTGTTCTTCTTCTTTCTTTTTGTTTGAAGTTGTTTAATAATTTCTTCTATTTCTTTGATTTTATTTTGAAGAATGTTCATTTCTTATTTGTTATATTCTTCTTCCTTTTTCTCTTCTTTATCTTGTGTTTTTATTTATTTTCTTTTTCATTTATTATTCTTACAGTTTTACATTATTTATTTCTTTGTTTTGATTTTTGTTTTTGATTCATTTTTCATTTGTTTTAATATCATTAACCATTCTTTTATTGCCTATTTGAATTCTTCTTTGTTTTTCTTTATTATTTTATTATTGAATATACTTCTTGGAGAATATTATACAATTTCTTTACCTTCATACTTTTTATTTATTTCTGATTATTCTCCTTTCTCATTTTACTTCTTATTCTTTTATTTTTTATTTCAATTTTATTTGTTGTTATAATTTAGATTTGTTATTTGTATAATGTTTATTATCATTATATTTACATTGTTTCTTATTTGTTTTTATTTGTATTCTTCTTTTTCTATTCACTTTTCTCTTGTTATTTCTTTTATCATTATTATTATATATTTTATTTCATCATTCTTTTCTTTGAACTTGAATACTTGTTTGTTGTTTGATTTTCATTACAAGACTCTCTGTCATTACTCAATAAGCATTGCAACAAAATATGATGTATATTCTGAATTGATAAAAGGAACCATTAAATGATTTAATAAAAGAAAATAAGAAAAAATAAAAAAAGGGAGAAAAAAGAGAAAAAAAGGAAATGGAGGAATTCTTGACAGAAATGAGTGAAGAAGAAATTGAAAATTCATGTAAGTCCTTAGCAAGAGTTATCTCAAGATCAAAGCACGTTGTTGTACTAACAGGAGCGGGGATATCAGTTTCAGCAGGGATTCCAGATTTTAGATCAAGAAATGGGATGTGGAAGAGATATGAGCCAAAAATTTATGGGAGTTATGAGAATTTTATCAAGAGACCAGAAATGTTTTGGAAAATGTGTAGTGAATTACGAAAGTATACAGAAGGAAAGAAACCAACAAAAGCACATTTTGCATTAAGAAAATTAGAGGAAATAGGAAAAATAGAAGAAATAATTACACAAAATGTAGATAATTTACATCAATTAGCAGGAAGTAGAAAAGTAAATGAACTTCATGGAACAGGAAAAATATGTCAATGTATTAAATGTGGATATCGAGGGAATGCAGATGTAATATTACCAAAAGGACTTATTCCATGGATTGATATTCCAAAATGTCCAAAATGTGGAGGACTTATTAAATTAGATGTAGTATTATTTGGAGAAGAATTAGAAAAAGAAAAATTTGAAAAAGCATTTGAAGTAGCAAGTATATCAGATGTTTTTTTAGTGGTTTGTTTATAAATTTAAAGAATAAAAAGAAGACTTAAAAGATAGATTGGAAGTTCATTAGAAGTAATGCCAGCAAATGCATTACCACGAAAAGC